GGGGAGGGGTTTTCTTGAAATTGCTGCTAGGAATATTTTCTACCTATTATAACGATGTATAGATGTACAGTTACATAGAAAGAATTGCATTGGTCTCTTCTGGCAGGGACGACCCGACCCTTAGCAGCAGAGAAGTTGTTCAATGGATGCATAAAATACAACAATGGAATCCCAAGTTCTTTACTCTCTTCCACCTTCCCGTGAAACATCGCCTTTCTGTGTCTAAATTCTTAAGGCCTGTGTTAATTGCTAGAATGGCCAAGTCTCCTGAACTGGCAAGCATATCACCGTAAGCTAAGAGAAGCATATGAAACAGAAGATAAAATGCAGTATGTGGAAGTTCTGAGACGGAGGGAAGACCATCTTGAGAGGATTCTCGATGAAGCAGAAATTAAGCTCAACGTATCTTGTAGGGGACGAGTTTACATTAGCAGACATGATGTTCATACCAACACCCGAACAAAAATGGCTGAGTATTGGTACATGGTGCAGCGGAGACCGAGCTATAAAAAGGTGATTGGACGCTACTTTCGCGGTTGGGGAAGGCAGAGGACACTACTAAAAACTTGGTGCTATGTGCAAATTAGACGTTTATTGGGACGATATTTGATAAGCGTACGCAAGTGTACAAATATCTCTCGTTTTTTATTTTCTCCTGCAAAATTTCGTATAATGGGACAGAAATGTGTGGCATTGATCTATGGTTGTGAAGAATAAGATTATCTTTTGAAATAGTCTTGAAATTTTATGCATGCAACTCATTATTTCTTTATTATCTACATTTTTCGTTGGGAAGCCGGCTTATCTTGTACTAGAGAAATGTCTTCTCAATGCTCACTAGATATAGACCGTACTATCTCACGACCCAACCTACATAATGATGCTTAAAAGGGCGAACGACCCACCTGGTGCGACGTTTCTGGAATTTGAAATCTAAAAGAATGAATTTAAACTGGAATTATTATAAACTCTTTCCCTTTTTGCGGGTGAAAATTTACGTCACTCATTGTTGTTAACCTTTCGATGCTCATTTGAAATAGTAGGAAACGGATAAAGATTTCTATTGTGCGTGCACTTACTTGTAAGCAGTTGTGAACTACTCGGGAATTTCTTGTTGCTACCATGTAACATTCATCAGTAATTGTTGAACTTTCAAAAATTTCATAAAATGAGCTTTCCAGACATCCTCAATGACCAATCATCGACTAGCGAACTACAATGAACTAAAATGGACGGCACGCGGCAAAAGAAAGAATGGGCCAGCTGGGCATTTCTAGAAGACCAACTTCGAGACCAAACCTTTTGAAAGACGAGGGGTCACTGACACTTGAGAATATGCAAAAAAGATAATTTCATGTACTAACCATTGAGAGTCGATGTGTGCTTTAGTTGGAATGAAAAAGAAATCCGTTTAACAGTGTTCCAAGATTCTCATCATTCCATATATCCCTAACTACCAATTTATCCACACCAAAATGCATCCATGGTAACAGCATAAATGGTGGCAAAAAAGACGGCTTTTATACCAAAAGAAAGAAAATCCTCATGTACGTGTATGTTACACCTTTTTGGACACTACAATGAAAAGAAAATCCTCATGTACGTGTATGTTACACCTTTTTGGACACTACAATGAACAAAATTTTAACGACTTTCTTGCTTAATACTATTCAATCTTCCCTTCCAAACATGACGTAAGAGTTTCAAAGAAATATTCAAAATTCTTATGCAAATTCCAATTTGAACATTATGGTAATGAAGAAGAGAGATTACCAAAGTAATTTCTGACTAAGGAAACAAACACTAGTTGCAAAGACATAATGTTTCCATGTGTTTGAAGTCCATCAGCCCACTCAATGTACATTTTGTTCTTCTCCATTTCAATACTTCATTGCACAGAGTATAATTATTTGTTGCTAATGGCATATGTAGAACTCCAATTTTATGGGATGACTCCGTAGGGATCACCTTGCTTAGGCTTTTCCAAGAATCTAATTACAAATATCA